AAAGAGAAAGGGGGCTGTGGAAGGTGAGTCGATTTTCCAGAGGGGCTGCGATTGTGAGGAGAGCCTTTAGGAGTGCGAGGGTGGCCGCCTTCCCCGGAGGGCCAGCTCCTGCTGTGCTTTGTTTCATCTTTTACTTCCACGGAGCCACAGCGTCCTGCTGCTTCCAGGACAGAACCAGGGACAGGGCAGGCCCAGTGGGCCGCTGCTGGAGGCTCGCCCAGCTCTGGGCTCAGACGGCGAGGCTCTCCTTCTGGGCCCTTAGAAGCGGTCTCACCCCACTGCTGCATCCTTCAGCGGAGGAAATGGAGGCCCCCAGCAGGGGCACTGGACTTCTCAAGAGCAGGCGTCTGAGGGCCGTGTCTGGTCAGAGGTTTCCATGGGGTCTGAGGCGACAGGATTTGAGGAGGAAGAGGGAGACTCCTGGTTTCACGTCCCCTGTGTCTGCGGCCGGAGGCAGCATCCAAGGCGCTTTGCTCAGGGGTTTGGGGGCCGCAGAGTCTGCCTGGGTGCGTGCTTGGTGACTGTGGCCTGGTCCAAGGGCACGGAGGGGGCGGGGTGGCCTGGGGACCACTGGCTGCCCCTGCCTGCTCCCCTCCCTCCCGAAGGAGCAAAGCCTGTTTCGGAACATCCCCTGCCCGCTGGAGCTGTGACGGAGGGCTCTTCCTTGCAGAGGACGGAGAGGCCGTGAGCAGTTCCTACGAGTCCTATGACGAGGACGAAAGCAGCAAGGGCAAGTCGGCCCCCTACCAGTGGCCCTCGCCCGAGGCCAGCATCGAGCTGATGCGCGACGCCCGCATCTGTGCTTTCCTGTGGCGCAAGAAGTGGCTGGGCCAGTGGGCCAAGCAGCTCTGCGTGATCAAGGACGCCAGGCTCCTGGTGAGTGTCCTCTCCCCGGAGCGGAGGTGCGGGTGGTCCCTGATGCCAGGTGCTTAGAGCCTGTCGCATCAGGGGGTTTCTACGTCTCCCCAGCCCGAAATCCCATGCAGAGCTTCGTGTGCGTGGATGAACGTGCTTTCTCTTAAGTAGGAAGGGCTAGTACTTTCAGCAGGCTTTCAAAGGGGTCTGTGACGACTGCCCCCTCCCCTCCCCCCAGATCCCATCCCACAGATGTTTTCTCCGGGGATCTTTTTGTCCCCTGGTCTGTGGGCTCCTTCTTTCTTTACAGTCCTTTTGGGGCGGAGCCTGCTGCCCAGGCAGGTGACTGATTATAAGTCGAGACCCATAAGGGAATCAGAAGATAGTACTCTGACCACAGCCCCGTTTCGTTACTTTAAATTAAAATTTGGTATTTCGTCCCAATGTGAAGTTCCATGGAGTCACTGTAAACACCCCTTCTTCACTGGTTCCAACCCGCCCTGCTGTGTGCAGGTGTTTTTCAGGTAATCCTGTTAAGCAGCCCCGTAAAGAACCTCCGTTTTACAAGTGAGAAACAGAGGGGTAATGCATTTTCTCTGGTAGGGAAGAGAGTTGCTGCCTTTCTCTGCTAACACATCGTCTCCTAACGAATCGGATGGTAAACTTGGCCTTCGTCCCCTTTGGACCCCTTACTGGGGAAGCCGAGCAAGGAACAGAGGCAGAGAGACAGAGAACTGGGAACAGTGCCTTCCACCCTGGAGAGGTGGCAGTTGCCTGCAGAGGACACATTTTAGGAGCCGGCGTGGTCTGCAGTGGGATTAGAGCAGCTTGGATGAGCAGGGCTGGGGCCTCTCTGGCAAGCGGGAGGAAGAGGCTTGAGGGAGACAGAGACAGCTGCCCGGTCACTCTGACGCCGAGAACACGCGTTGCCAGTGTTGGAGGCGACAGCTCCGCACTTGCGCAGGGGGTGTCCGGCCTTTGGGTTTGTCGTGCAGAGCCCACCCCTCAGCGGGTCCTGCCCTGCCCAGCGGCCCCCCCCTCCTCTGCAGAACCTGGCCAAGCAGCGTCTCGCCTCTCCCCTCTCCCAGTGTTACAAGTCCTCCAAGGACCACAGTCCTCAGCTGGACGTGAACTTGCGGGGCAGCAGTGTGGTGCACAAGGAGAGGCAAGTGCGGAAGAAGGAGCACAAGCTAAAGATCACACCCGTGAGCGCCGACGTGATCGTGCTGGGCCTGCAGAGCAAGGACCAAGCTGAGCAGTGGCTCAGGGTGAGGGAGGCGCCAGGCTGCGGGGGAAGTGGGCCTGCTCCGCTCCGGGGCTCCCAGGGCCTCCTGCAGTTCTGGCTCCCCAGCCTCTTCAAAGGGATGGCTGTGGTCGGGGGTAAAGTGTCTGTGATCCTTCAAGTTCGCAGGGCTTCCTGCGTCGTCGGTGGTAGCGATCCGCCTTAGGGAAACGGGTCGCAGGGCTATAGGTCTGCGACCTTCTCAGCCACCTGGACTTGGGCTCTAGTTGAAATCCACTTGCCTTCTGGCCTCCAGTGAGGCATCGCCAGCCAGTTCAAAGGCTCCTTCCCGGGGGAGCTGGGGTGGACTCCTGACAGGCATGTCTGGGAACCTGGCCTGGACCAAGGCAGCGTCCAGGCCTGAGTCCCAGGCGGCACGCAGACCCTCCACAGCGAGCCCCACGGCCCCCAGGAGCCAGAGAGCCATCTGGCAAACGTGGGTGTTTACCCCCGCAGTGAACAGCCACCCCTGCCCAGGATGGGGTGAGAGGAGCTGAGGGCTGGCTGCCCTCACCCTGTTTGGGCTTTGCTGCCAACCCTGCCCCCTGCCTCCCCGCCCCGCTTCCCTGGCACACCACCAAACACCTGGGGGCCTGCGGGAGACAGGCCTCGGGAACACGCCCCCTCCCCGGCTGGGTCCCGAGGCCACACGTGGCTAGGGGGGCTCTGGCTTTGGTGTGGCCGTGGCTGCAGGCCTGAAGGGTCTTCATCTTCCTTCAGGTCATCCAGGAGGTGAGTGGCCTGCCCTCTGAAGGAGCTTGTGAGGGAAGCCAGTACACCCCAGATGCCCAGCGCCCGAGCTGTCCGAAAGTAAGCCTCTACCCTGCCTGAAAGAGAGTTCCATTCCACTTTTGTCTCCATACAATTCAAGGTGTTAAGACGGGGAGCTTTGCTCTTGCACTCAGCCCAGTTGATAAGAGACGTACAGTGCTTGGCTAAGGGCAGTAGCTTGGCAGGGAAACTGATGAGAATGATAGAAGCCTACGATATTTTCTTGCTCGGGGGAAGGTTTATTGGGACAAAAGCCACTTTGCCTCCGTTCTTGGGCAGGGAGACTTATTTTTCGAGGCTCTTCCTTCCCACTTAGGCAACCGTCTGGGTGTTGGACCCCAACCAGAGGGCCCAACTGCTGATTTGCATGGAGCTGTGGGAGCCCTGCTTTAGGGTCAAAGTTGAGAAAGTTGGGCTGGGTGCTGGCTGAGGGGAGGGCTGTCACTGCGGGGTCACATTCCATGTCCCCAGGTGGGTGCCCGGAACCCTGCTGTGCACAGAGGGTCCCTGTGGCTCATCTTCGGGTCCCCACACCCGGCAGGGAGGAAGGCAGAGGGGGGGCAGAGGCCCTGAGCAGGGAGGAGGCTCTCTGCTCCTTTGGAAGGCACGGGCCACCCCCATGGAGGAAAACCCACAGCCTTCTAGAGTGACGGAAGAGGGGCTGATGTTTTCGTTCTTATTCACTCCTTGGTCATTGACAAAACCAAAGCCAGAGTAAACTTGCAGATTCCTTCACATTGGGGTGAGAAGCAAGACCTCCCCCTACAGACCCAGCACACAGATTCCCTGGCCAGGTACTGCAGTCCTTGGTCCTCAGCGAAGGCCTTGTTGGTTGGGAGCCGCTGGGCTTGTTTTCCAGGGGTTCTGGAGTCAGTGGTCCTAGAAGCCTGATGGGAATCTTCTGTCTACTCTAGGGACTGTCTCTAGTCCCCCAACAGCCCTGAGAATGCAGACAGGGGTGTTATCCCTATTTTATACACATGCAGGGTGGGGCTCAGAGAGGCCCTGCCGCACTAGAGAATGCTCCAGGTGGGATTCGAATCGTGGTCTGACCCTGTGAGGACAAGCCAGCCCTTCTGCAAAGCCTGCCGCGTTGGTAGTACAGTCAACTCTCAAAAGACGTCCTGGTACGGGTGGGTCCCAGCTTCAGCTGCGATGCTGACTCCCGTGCACCCTGGGGCTGGCTACCTGCCCTGCCCACTGGCTACGGAGCCGCTGTCACACCAAGCGGAGCAGCCATCTTGAGAGCTCACGATCAAGGACATGCGGTGGGCTGAAGGAGGAAACGATGCTCTGGGATGGGGCGGGGAACCTCCCAAGGGAAGGCAAAGGCAGGCCCTTTAGGGAGCCCCAGGGAAGCCTGGCCATGTCCCACCAGTGGCTTGGACTCCAAGGTGACCCCTAGCCTACACCCAAGAGTCATCTATTGTTTTCCTGAAATTGTGGTCTCCCAGGTAACCATTCCCAGACGAGGTCACCCACCTGTCTCTCTCTCTTCCACAGCCAGATATAACTGAGAAGTACCCGTCAGCCTCGGAGTATGGGAGCTCCATAGATGGCCACCCTGAAGTCCCAGAGACCAAAGATGGTACAAACGCTCTGGCTCTCCGCCTAGGGTTGGGAGGGGTGGTAACCCGGGCTGTGAGGCTCGGCTGTCTGGCTCAACCCTACCGAGTTGTAACAGCTCATTCCAGCATGCCTCCAGTTTCTAAACTGCTTAGAGGTGTACAGCTGATAGATCCTGGAAAAAAGGAGAGAGGACCACACTGAAGTTACAGTTCATGAACTGCTGGGGGTAGAATATTCTTTCATCTCTTGTTTGCTAACCCTAGTTCAGATCTCTCTGAGCCCATTTAGTCTGTAAAGATTCTCCAGTGCTGTGACATGTTCTGTAAGAGAGGTTGGTGTGCCTCTAGAGACACCTGACTGGCCTGTGGATCTGAGTTTGGGGCACAGACCTGTGTGCGCGCACAGGGAGGGGCAGACAGGACAGGGACAGGTCTGCTAATTTTTCCGTCATCCATGAGGGCACATCGGTAGGCTGTGTGCAAGGCTGAAGGTTTTTCCTCTCATCTTGACAGTCAAGAAGAAATGTTCTGCTGGCCTCAAACTGAGCAACCTAATGAACCTGGGCAGGAAGAAATCTACCTCGCTGGAGCCTCCGGAAAGGTCCCTCGAGACATCCAGTAAGATTCAACAGCCGCCTCCTGGGCCAGAGGGCGGGCTCCCCCGCTGGGCCGCAGCCCGTCTCCAGGAAGGCAGCTCAGGCGGCCAGGGCAGGGACTTGGGGTTTTGCTCTAGCACCTCTTGGGCGGGTGAGCCCACAGCCCATGGTTTCTACTGATCTTCACTGCAGGCAGCCCTTTACGCCTCACCAGACCCTCTTGCTGCAGTGTGCGGAAGTGAAGGGTAGTTGATGGCCGTCCTCCTAGCAGTCTTTAAAGTTATATGTTCATTTGATCAATGTGTATGGAGCACAGTAGGCACGGTGTTAGGGAAAGGGGCCCAAGCAGGTGGAGGACACAGTCCTGAGAGCTTACAGCTCAAAAGAGATGATGGCCTTATACCCATAACCACACACTGTGCCGTCTTAGTAGCTACAAGGACTCGGAGACAGAAAGAACCTTTCTTACTCTGTAGACAGAGATGGATGGCTTCCTGCACCTGAGCCGCCAAGGCCGGGTGGGAGCTAAACGGGCTGGGATGGATGGCCCCCACGGGCAGGAGCAAAGACTCTGAGGGGGCACTGGTAAGACCCGTTAAGGGGATGACAAAAGCCCGTGTCGCTGGTACAGAGGGAATGTGTGGGTGCTGGGAGGCCCTCCAGGTCATCTCTGCTGCCCTTACTCGGCCTTGAAACTGATGACAGGAGAGAGACACAGACAGAGAGACCTTTCCCAGAAAACATCCTGGCTTCCAACTCAAAGCTCATTGCTATACTTACGCCCCGGAGCCTGAAGGCCACTACTGTCCATCTTTGGGCCTTTTCCTCTGCCTCATGGAACCTGTGTACCAGCCCTGGGCTCTCTTCCTGAGTCCCAGTTCAGCTCTGTGTTTTGCGGCTGGCAGGGTGGGCTGGAGGGACAGGAAGGCAGCAGCGGACAGGGCCCTGCCTTTGGAGTCTCCTGGCTCTCTGGCCAGGTTGCCGGGTAACGGCCCACCTCTGCCAGCCCCTGTGGCCTCAGAGGGCACGGTGTTGGGCCTGGGAGCCTGGTCCCAGTGAGTCACTTTGCGCGATGTGGCTGGGTTCTTGCTGGCAGTTACTCAGCAGGGAAGCACGCTCCTGTCCCCTGTGGCTGGGGAAGGGCCAGAGAGACATAGATACTCTCCTTCCCAGGACTCGGTGCCTGAGCTCCCCGCCTCTCTTTGGTCCAGAGAATTGTGATGGGCGAGTGGGGCGCCTGCCTGAATGAGCCAGAGTTCCTAGGTCCTGGGCTCACATTCTTCCACTTTGCTACTGTGATGTGATGGTCTCGTGGCCCTGAGAAATTCACGATCCCCACTGAGTGTCCAGCACTGGACTGGGTGCGAAGGTGGCCGTGTACTTTGACCCTGTTGCATGGGCCTAGTTCTTCCCGGCTAAGGTTCAGAGCAGCTGCCGGTCCCTTAGGATGGAGAAGGCGTCCGCTTTGTAAGCCAGTGCCCGTGGGAAGGTGAGCAGCACAGAGAGATGTCGACCCACGTTGTGTGGGGCAGGCAGAGGGGCCTGAAGACTGGATGTTTACTCATCTCTCCAGCCCCAGGGACAAGGCTGTCAGCTCCATAAATATTCACCTAAGTTGGAAGCTGAACCCAACACATGCAACCATTTAAAAACAAGAAAGGCCTACGTGATGGGTGCACCCCAGCACTGGCAGCCCCTGTGTGCCAGTGGAGAAAGAAGGGCTTCCTGGTGGAGAGGCCAAGGGGCACAGGCCCAGGTGCTGGAGATGAACGTGGCAAGTTCCTGCCCTTGACAAGCTCTGTGTCCCGTTGGGAGGCTGACATGGAAGCGGAGATGTCGCTGTTCCAGGACTCAAGTGTTCTGAAGGCCGACCGCGAAGGGAGGGCAGGACCCAGGAGGGCCAGCCACCTCTGAGAGGACATGGAGAAGCTGGCTGAGGGGGGCGGGGCCTTCGCAGGCTGAGACCCAGCGACCGGGGACGGCAAGGTGTCAGGGGAGCTGAGGGAACTAAGGCTGTGGAGGTGAGGGGGTCGCACCTGCGGCCAGGACACCCTGGCTGGGGCGAGCTTCCTGCAGGTGGCCTGGGCCAGCAGGGGAAGGGAGACAAGGAGGCCGGGGTGGGGGTGCCAGCCTCAGTCCTGCGCACACACACACACACACACACACACACATGCACGGAGACGCGCGTGCCCACACACGCACACAGATACACGCACACACATACACACACGCAGATATGCACAGACGCGCGCACACACACGCGCACGCGCGCTCTCTGCCTGGTCTAGGCCAAGGCACGACGCACTTCCCTCCGGACAGGCCTTTCTCAAAACCCAGCAGCACGGTGCTGCCCACCTTCAAAGGATCTAGCAGAGAATTCACAGCCTCTACGAGGCAAGAAAGTCTCTCGGGCCAAGCATGGCAAGCCTTGGAGCTGAGATCTGGAGGAGCCTCTCCAGGGGTCCACGAGCAAGGGCAGCCCTCAGCCACCTACCCGCCCTGAAGCCGCATCCCACCCCGCAGGTTACCTGAACGTGCTGGTGAACAGCCAGTGGAAGTCGCGCTGGTGCTCCGTCAGGGACAGTCACCTGTGCTTCTACCAGGACCGGAACCGCAGCAAGGCGGCCCAGCAGCCCCTCAGCCTGGTGGGCTGTGACGTGGTGCCAGACCCGAGCCCCGACCACCTCTACTCCTTCCGCATCCTCCACGATGGCGAGGAGCTGGCCAAGCTTGAGGTACCGCTGGCCCTCTGGCTGGGTGGGAGTGGGCAGGCACGGCCAGGGCAGAGGTCGTGGTCACGGCTGTTTGCCGCAGGTCCTGAGGACCGCAGTCCTACGATGGGAGAGTCAACTTAGCCACCCTTTTATTTTTACTTCCTTTGCCTGAGATTGTTTGCATGTTTTAAAAATTTCCATTCCCTTTCGGACCTCAGGGTGGTTGTGTTATAGGAACGGGACAATGAGCTATTTCCTGCACTTAGGGCAGGAGGAGTATTTATAACTCCCTGAGCTGCTGGAAAAACTTTCTGGGGACTCAAAGTGGGTTTGTGATTTTGTTTGTGTATCACCAGATGGGGGCCAGTACATAAAAATGCTGACTGTTAAGGCTTATCTGTGTGGGGGGGAATAATGAGGTTTGTGACACAATTACATTATTCCCACTCCCCGTCCTCTGTTCGATGTTACATTTACAAAAATAAGAGGTGACCTAATGCCTTGCGATGAGCCGGGCAGGCCTGAGCCAGAGGGCTTTACAGGCACTTAAGCACACACCCCAGTTCACCCCTGTTCATCTAGTCCTGTATCCAAGGGTCTTCATCCAGATTTTGCTCCAATGCTGCCCTCTGGTGGCTAAAAGATCCACATCCCAATTGCTTCCCAGGGACAAGCTTGTATTCATTCCTGCATCCATCCATCGTGTTGACAGATACCTATTCAGCACAGTGATAGGGTGAACAAGACAGACAGACTCCCTGTCGTGGAACTTACATGCTAGTACGAGAGTGAGATATTATTCAGTGGTTGCCCAACTGATTACTCAGTAATCACTCAGCAGTGGGGCAGGCGCTACGAATAGGTAGGAAAGTTTGCGTGCTGGGCGGATGGGGGCTGGTGGAGGGAAAGCCTGTGGGACAAGGCGGGGAGGGACGGGGGTGCTGATCCTAAGAGCAGTGGGAGACCCTAAAGGGTTTCAAGGGAGGGTGGCATGTTCAGGTTTGGATTCCAAGATTCTTCCTCCAGCTGCTGGGTGGGGGACGGAGGCAAGGGGGACAGGAAGGGATAAAATGAGACCCGTTAGGAAGCTGTTACCATCGCCCAGGGCAGGGATGGTGGTAGCAGGAACTAGAAGCAGCCTGTGAAAAGCTGTATTGAGAAATCCACTTGAAAATGAGTGGGGAAAGGAAACCAGCTAAATGTCAAACTGCACTTTTAGCTGCCCCTCTGATCGCGAGAAAAGAATAAGGTGCCAGAGCAGCGTTGTGTAATGCCAGCATGGTGACTGTTTTTCCTCATGAAAGTAAACCTGTAGTATTTATAGAATCCCCAGTTCCTTCTCTTTATAAAGCCCAGAAACCCTGTTGGCATTTTAATAGATATACTCAATGTAATACATATTTGATTAGAATGCATTGTCCCCTGGAGAAAATCAGGCACCAACTTCACTGGAATTTAGTTCACGATTTGTCAGAGCCAGCTGACCTGGTGTAACGTGTATAAGACATCCTGACTATTGAAACCATAAACAAAAATAAATTTGAATTTTGTTATTTCTTAGGGATCCAGGTAGTCTTGTATAAATGGACTAGGGTTGTAAACTGAAATGTGCTCATTCATAAAATAGAGGTGTCGACCTAAAATACATACATTTTAACAGTCCTCTCCTGGTCCATTAGCCTTCCAGAAATACATGTTTATAAACATCACGTGATACTTGGGACAAATGTCCACAGCATCATTGAGGTGGCACCAGGGTGTCAGTAGTAGCAGGAAATATCATTTGGGGGTCCCTGGGGGATGGGATATGCTAGTGAAAATGAAGAGCATGGCCCCAGGGCTCCCAGAGGCCTTGCCCGGGGTGGGGCACCAGGCAGCACACTCCAGCCCTGCTCATGTCCCTCTTGGCCTCCTCCCAGGCCAAGTCTTCCGAGGAAATGGGCCACTGGCTAGGCCTCCTGCTTTCTGAGTCGGGCTCCAAGACAGACCCAGAAGAATTCACTTACGACTACGTGGATGCCGACAGGGTTTCCTGTATCGTAAGCGCCGCCAAAACCTCTCTGCTGTGAGTATTAAGGGGCCTCCTGCTTTGCACCCACCCACTCCCAGCTATGCTTCTAGACCGAGGCCCAGGCTGGCCTCTGGTGGTCAGTCGAGCAGGGTGGCAGCTGGGAACTCAGGGTGGGCCCTGTTCTACACAGCAGCAGGCAGGCCAGGGCCAGGGAGCAGCCCTGCAGGAGGCCCAGCAAAGAGCTGAGCCAGGCCTCTGGCCCGGGGGCAGCCACAGCATCCCTGGCTCTCATGAGACGCTATCCAGCTCTTGAAGGCAGAGCTGGCGCCTTTCCCGGCCCTTCTGCTTTCCTTACTGTGGAGGCAGCACTTTCCCATGGCTCTGTCGCCGGGTCCCAGCACACCCTGGAGTAAGCAGGGCAGGGGTGGCACTTCTGCTTCCTAGATGAGCAAACTGGGACTCGCGGAGAGGTGGTCCTGGGTGGGGGGGGTGGTAGCAGCATGGGTAGAAGCCGGCTGAGCCAAAATGGGGAAGGCATCTGGTCTGTGCTGGCCAAGTGTATTGTGAAGATGAAGCGAGAAAGGATTTTGTTGTTGTTGGAAGGAGATCCTGAAAAGGAGAAATCAGGGCGAGAAGATGGCAAAAGGATTCCAAGAGGAGGGGTACGGGGCGAGGGAAGTTCGTTTTTCGGGAAGAGAAATTTGGAACCAGGAGTTCTAGTAAGAAGGCCCTGGGGAGAGAGGGAGGGGATACCCCTAAATAAATGAGTTTGTTTTAAAAGGTCAGAGCTAGTCCCCAGGCCTCCGGCACTGCCCACAGATTTCTCTGTACCTCTCATTGTTATGACTCCTTTGAGACTGGTGGCTTTTAGCACCCTGTCCTGAATCCTCTTTCGCTGTGTCTTCCAGACTGATGCAGAGAAAGTTCTCAGAGCCGAACACTTACATTGACGGCCTGCCCAGCCAGCATCACCAGGAGCTGCTGTATGATGATGTGGAGGTGTCGGAGCTGACGGCTGTGGTAAGGGCACCGGCTGGGCTGCAGCCTGGGGCTGCCCATCCTCTTCCTGCTAAGCCTCAAGGCCAGAGATCGTTAGATGGTCCCTAAGAGGAATGGACTCCAGGTCACCCTCAGGGCCATCAGTGCAGAAACCGAGGCGCAACGAGGTCATATTTTGTATAGTGGGGCAGTGCCGTCTGCCTGGCTTGGGGACTTGTCTAGATAAAACAGCTGGTTAACCACCCCGGTCAGTGCCAGGGGTGCGGGGTGTGGCGGTGGGAATGGGGAGCAGCAACACCATTAGCCTTTTTTAAAAACTAAAGTAGAGCTGATTTGCAATATTATATTAGTCTCAGGTTTACAGCACAGTGAGTCAGTATCTTTATGGATTATATGCCATTAAAAGTTATTACAGGGGCTTCCCTGGTGGCGCAGTGGTTGAGAGTCCGCCTGCCGATGCAGGGGACGCGGGTTTGTGCCCCGGTCCGGGAAGATCCCACTATGCCGCGGAGCGGCTGGGCCCGTGAGCCACGGCCGCTGAGCCTGCGCGTCCGGAGCCTGTGCTCCGCAACGGGAGAGGCCGCAACAGTGAGAGGCCCGCGTACCGC